AGGATGTGGGCTCTGAGGAGGAGGAAGAGGAGGGAGACAAAGGCAAGAAGAAAAAGACCAAGAAAATAAAGGAGAAATATATTGACCAGGAAGAGCTGAACAAGACCAAGCCTATTTGGACCCGCAACCCTGACGACATTACCCAGGAGGAGTATGGCGAGTTCTACAAAAGCCTCACCAATGACTGGGAGGACCACCTGGCTGTCAAGGTGGGTGCTGGGCCACCCTGGCTTGCAGAGGGCCCCTTACCAGCCCATACTCAGAGTCACCGCATGGTTGTGCCTCAGTGGCACAGAGGGCTCCTGGGCTTCTTGGTGGTGCCTCAGCCTGCACTGTGACTCCCTTGCAGGTGGAGAGGTTGGCAGTGCCAGCCTAGAAGCAGGGCAGGAGGGTGTTGGGCCTCAGAGGAGCATGAGTTCTCTGTTCCAGGCCTGCTAGATGCCAGAGACCCCTGGCATGTAGTGGGCAGTGGGGCTGAGGAGGGGGAAATGCTGGAGATCCTGCTGTGCCCCCCTGCCAGCCCCAGTGCTGAGGAATGGCGGTTCAGCCTGCCCACAGCGGGTCCTGGGAGAAGGGTAGAAGGAAAGTACCCCAGCAGCTGTTTTTCCTTCCTGGCTCCACAGCACTTTTCCGTGGAAGGGCAGCTGGAGTTCAGGGCCCTGCTCTTCATCCCGCGCCGTGCCCCTTTTGACCTCTTTGAGAACAAGAAGAAGAAGAATAACATTAAACTGTATGTGAGGCGTGTCTTCATCATGGACAGCTGTGATGAACTTATACCTGAGTACCTAAGTAAGAACCTACCTCCCTTAGCCTCCCAGCGTGGAGCTGGGACCCCCATAGCTTGTGGTACCATTCCCAGTACAGAGCAGCTGGATGAGGCACTTAGCTGGTGTGGGTGCACATCAGCCAGTGTCTTAGAACTTTTCCTCCAGTGATGAAGCTCACAACTGTTAACCTGACTCCTGTTTTCACTTTCCCTACTTAGACTTCATCCGGGGTGTTGTAGACTCAGAAGACCTGCCTCTGAACATCTCTCGTGAGATGCTTCAGCAGAGTAAGATCCTCAAGGTGATCCGCAAAAACATTGTGAAGAAATGCTTGGAGCTCTTCTCTGAGCTGGCAGAGGACAAAGAGAACTACAAGAAATTTTATGAGGCCTTTTCCAAGAATCTGAAGGTGAGCTGGGCACCCTGCACCCGGAGGAGGGAGGGGCCTGTGATCCATCTGCCTGAGGAGCAATTTTATCCCTGTGCTATGTCATCTCTGCATGGGTGTTAGGATGGGGGGGGGTCTCATGAGTGCCCCAGAGAACCTGTGTGTGGGCAGCTGGCCCCTCTGGCTGCCCTAGGCCCAACACTCAAAGGGGTGGGCAGTGATGGCTGTGCCTCGGGGTGGCCAAGTGTATGCAAGTCCTGTCCTGGAGGCTTCATGCTCCTCTTCTGCCCCCAGCTGGGCATCCACGAGGACTCAACCAACCGGAAGCGCCTTTCGGAGCTGCTGCGCTACCACACGTCCCAGTCAGGTGATGAAGTGACTTCGCTTTCAGAGTATGTGTCCCGCATGAAGGAGACCCAGAAGAGTATTTACTACATCACAGGTGAGCCGGAGCTCCTCCGTGCCCTAGTGAGGTGGAGGCAAGTTAACCTGCCTACAAGCTCTAACTTCAAGGGCCTTCAGCAGGCCCTCCCTGTTGAATCATGGCCCATCCCTGGGGGCTGGGGAAAGACTGCCAGGCCTAGAGCCCTGGCTGTGGCTAGGGGTTCTAGATGACTGGTGTTGTTTGTCCTGCTGAAACCAGCTCTTAAAATCTGGTGACATCTTGTTTCTACCCTTCTTACAGGGGAGAGTAAGGAGCAGGTTGCCAACTCGGCCTTTGTGGAGCGTGTGCGGAAGCGTGGATTTGAGGTGGTGTACATGACTGAGCCCATTGACGAGTACTGCGTGCAGCAGCTCAAGGAGTTTGATGGCAAGACCCTGGTGTCAGTCACCAAAGAGGGGCTGGAGTTGCCTGAGGATGAGGAGGAGAAGAAGAAGATGGAGGAGAGCAAGGCCAAGTTCGAGACCCTCTGCAAACTGATGAAGGAGATCCTGGACAAGAAGGTGGAGAAGGTGAGATGTGCAGAGGGAGCTGGGCCCTCTGTGAGGCAGGCAAGGGCCCCAGCTCAGTGCGTGCCTCTCATCTCCTGCAGAGGAGCCGCTAAAGGAGACAGGAGGTCCCAGCATGTGCCATCTTGCTCTAAAGCAGCCAGGCTGCAGGTGAGGGGCATTGACCCAAACACATGTATTAATGGGAGCAGGTAAGTGCAGGAGACGTGCAGTGGGTGCTGAAGGTGCTGGCTGAGCTGTCCAAATGAAGTCTGTGCAACAGTCCTGGAGCTGCTTGGAGGATCTCTGCTTGCTTTGGGGTGTCCCCAGGTGAACCTGGGGTACTACGTGCTGTAGTTTGGCCTGGTCCAGGCTGTATGTGGACCTTGCTCAGCTAACCCTTGGCTGCCTTGGCAGGTAACCATCTCAAACCGGTTGGTCTCATCTCCCTGCTGCATCGTCACCAGCACCTATGGCTGGACGGCCAACATGGAGCGCATCATGAAGGCTCAGGCGCTGCGGGACAACTCCACTATGGGCTATATGATGGCCAAGAAGCACCTGGAGATCAACCCTGACCACCCAATAGTGGAAACCCTCCGCCAGAAGGCTGATGCTGACAAGAATGACAAAGCTGTCAAAGATCTGGTGGTGCTGCTCTTCGAGACTGCTCTGCTGTCCTCTGGATTCTCCCTGGAAGATCCCCAGACCCACTCCAACCGCATCTACAGGATGATCAAACTGGGACTTGGTAGGTGACTGTGCAGCTTCTCAGGCCTGGAGCAGGTCCTGAAAGCAGGTCAGCTGGTGAGGCTGGTGTGTCTTGGGGCAGGGGGAGGCCAGCAAGTGGGCCATGCTGGTGTGATGTGCAGAACTGGCTGTGTACATACAGTGGCTAGAGGCAAGTGGAAATCTGGAACAAGGTGCTTTGGGAGGGCTCAGGGCTCTGAGTGGACCATCCTGTCCACTACAAGACCAGGAGCCACCACCAGGCTGCTCAGATGACAAGCTGAGGCTTTTTATTTCTTCAGAGGGAATGTCAAAAGTCTGTCATGGGAGATGTGACCCATCCTGGTGAAACAGCTTGTGCCTGCACCCAAGTTTTTTCCTCCAAATTGCGTATTTGGCTAAAAATGTAAATCGAGAGGTGCTGTGGCTTGGCCTAACTACTGGATGCAAAAATAGCCCTGTACCTCAGGCTGTGGGTAGGAGCCAGCCTCTGCTCTGGGAGAGGCTGTTATTCTGGGATCAGGTGTCACTTGGAGGCCTCATCTCTTCCTTTCCTCCCCTCTCCCAGGCATTGATGAAGATGAGGTGACTGCAGAGGAGCCCAGTGCAGCTGTCCCTGATGAAATCCCCCCTCTGGAGGGAGATGAAGATGCATCCCGCATGGAAGAGGTAGACTAGAGGAGGAACGCCTCTTCCCGTACCTGCCAGGCCTCTGCCCCATGTCATGTCTACTTAGAAGGGAGTCTTCTCCCACCAGCTGCTACTGACTTCTTGGTGGTGGCTTTTTTTTTTTTTGGTTGGGGTTGTTTTTGGCAGGGTGCAGGAGGGCATGATTCCCTGTTTGTTGGTAGTGAGTGATTCAGGCAGCTTGAGGCCTGTCCATTCTGTCTTGTGTAGGAACAGCTGGTGGGGAGTGGAAGTGAGGAGGCATTGGGATTCCCCTCTCTCCCCAGCTGTGGGGTCTCCCATGTTCCCAGTAGGCATCAGACACTGCCCTTGTTCCACTGGGCTGGGAGAGCCCTTCCTCTGAGCTGCTGCCTCCCTGAACCCCCAGGGTAGGACATTGTATTTTGGTTGGCTTGTTTTTTTTTATTATTTTTCTGTTGTTTTGTTCTACTGGAATTAAAGTATTGAAGAATGTGACTTACATGGTGGGGTCCCTTGTGTTTCATACCAACCATATGAAGGTCTCGGCCTGTGCCTTGAGGGTACTGGGCTACTGGTCTCCCCTACCGACTGGTTTTCAGAGCCCTGCTTTAGGGGATATCTACCCTCTCCCTGCCCAGGCACCATGACCTGCTGTGCAGGTGGGCTCCTCTCCAGTGCGCAGTTCTCCACCTAGAGTGATGCCTGCCCTGCAGCCTGGGAACAGACCTTTCCACACTGCGCCTGCTGGCTGGGCAAGCTGTGCCAGGAGCCAAGCGGGCACTGCTGCTGGCTGCTCTGGCCTTGAGTGTCCCTGGGGCCAGGAGCTGTGGCAGGAGCCATCTGCCTCTTCCCCTGCAGGGCGGAGCAGGACTGTACTAGAGCTGCCTCTCTTCAGCTCTTAGGCCAGAAGATGACTCCTGCTTCCAGTCTGCCCCTTCTGGGCTTCTGCAGCCCTGGGGGGTTTGGCAGTGTCCAGCCCTGGCTTTTGCCTTTGTGGGAGAAGCCTGGGCCATCACCTCTGATTCTTCTGCCCCTTGCACTTGAGCCACTGAGCTCACACTGAGCAGCAGTTTGCCCTCTGCCACAATGGCCCCTGGGGTTTGTCAGGGAAAAGTGATATCAGCATCAGTTCTCTAGCTGCTTGCCAGCAGCCACAGGCACAAAATGGAGCTGAGTTTAGCTGGTGTACATCTTCTGCAGGCCCTGCTGTGTCCCTCGCTGCACACCAAAGCACTGTGGAGCACTGTGCTGCCCCTATGGCAGCTGTTGGGGTGCAGGCTGAGGCAGTGCTGGAGCTGAGCTAGCAAATGCCTTCAGGGTGGTTTTCTTTCCCTGAGACAGGAGGGGAAAAAAAAGGTTTAAAAGTAAAGAGTTCTCTCTGGACAGGAAGGTTTTGCCAAATAACAAACCAGTGAAGTCAGTTCTTTTTAACTTGAAATGCTTTGGAATTTTTATTTCACTATTTTTTTCTTTAAATCTACATTTAAATTAGAAAAGGTATCTCATTCCCAACTGGGCAATCTATTTTTTTTTTTTTTTGACTAAAGAAAAAAATCCATTTTCAGGCTGTCAGCAGATGCTGAGAACAGACCTTTAGGGGGAATTTGTAGGGGCAGGATGAAGGGCTGTGAGGCTGCACAGGCACTTTCAAGGGCTTGGAGCTAGAAAAGGAACACAGGTAAAACTGCTGGAGAGCCAGGTGCTCTGAAACCTGGGCTGTGCTCAGTGTCAGCTCTGTTATTGCTGCTGGCTCAGCTAACTCAGCACTGTGATAAGCAGCTCCTGTTTCTCCTGTAGTGTTCACCCAGGTCTCCCCTTTCTCTGGCTGTGAGGCCAAGGCCTTGTCTCTGACCTCAGACCTCTCCCAGACTTGACTCCCTAGCCAGGTTTTCCACCAGGCCTCCCCCAGGTACCATCCACACCCCAAGCCTCCCACGGCTGTAGCATGGGGCCTGTGGAGCTTGCGGTGGTGGGGAGGCACCCTGTAAAGGATGGGCTCCCCCATTACAGTGCTACAGCAGTGGTGGCCCCGGCTCCTCCTCTAGCTACATGGGCTGTAGTTACACCCCCTGGGGCTGCTTAAGCTGCAAGACACAGGGAACCCAGGAGCCAAACCCGACTCAGTCTAACAGCTCCTCCACCTGCCTGCAGACACAAGCAGCAGGTCCTGACCTGGCTATACTCCCCAGCCCTGTGTGCAGGGATCTCACACCAGGCCTTGCAGCTTTGACTGATACCTGCCAGGGCAGAGCACCTGTCTTTAGAAAGGAAAACCAACTTCAGTTGTCCCAGAGAGGCTAGGGACACAGGAAAGGTTGGGCAGTCTCCCCTCCTTCCAGGTACATGGGGGGGGAAAAAAAAAAATTTAAAGAAACCCAGAACATTTTCCCCCAGGGCACTATATGCAGCATAGTTTTAATTTAACGAGAAAAAAGTTGCCTTTCAAAAGTACCAAAACCTGCTGGCTTGTCAGTCAGGTTGTGTTGAGGAGAAAAGGGTTAACCAGCAAAAGCCCAGCTCCTGGGGAAGAGCAGCTTTCATTGCTCCCTCCCCTGATGCCTGGGGAGCAGGAACAAGGCTCACAAGCGGGCATGCCCCATCTCTTGGCCCCCTGGGCACAGTGGGGCTCTGGCCAGTCCCCAGGAAAGCTGGGGCCGATACCTCCAGTTGGCAGGCAGAAGAGGGGCTGTTTGTGCTTCTGTGAATGGCAACTGCAAAGCCCAGAAACTGTGGCACTGAGACACCCCGAGGTGATGCTGGGGCTTCTGGGCAGCACAGCCTTTGGCCTGTGACAGCAGCGGATATAACCAAAAAGCAACTTAGAACAACTCAGCAAGCCATGGGAACCGTACTGGCCAGCCTCAGTCTCTGCATAAAAATCAGTCTGGGCTGAGGGAAGCAAAGAAAAGTGTCTCAAAGCAGGGGCAAGGAACTGGTAAAACCAAACAGGGAGGTACCAGTTCTTAACTGCAGTGCCCTCCCAGAGCAGATCCAGGCTTGGGGTAAGACAGGCTGGGGTCCATCCCTTAGCTGGGCCTGTCCTACCTGAAGTACTCCTGGGAGGGGGGCTGAGAGCTTCCCCATCTTGGGATAGGCTCAGCTTACGACTTGCCTCACATAGAGGTGTTCTAAACAGAAAGCTAGTGTTTTGCTTGCCCTTTCCTCCTGCTGAGCTCTGCAGCAGTGACAGAAACGGAGGAGCTTTAGCCAGAGGCAAGACAGTACCAGGGAAAGAGCTCCCTTGTTCATCGGTGACTTTGGAGAGAAGCCACAAGACAGAGGTGGGGCAGGAGTACCAGCAGCTGCACACCGGTTTTCCCCAGGATGCGAGCCCCCAAGCCTTTGTCTTGGCTGGAAGTCTTTGACCCATTAAGGCAAACGGAAAGGTTTGGAGCTGTGGCAGCCCAGAGCATTTCCTGGGCTTGTTCCAGCCCCTTCCCTGGAAGAAGCAGGTGGAAAAGTGAGTCACTGGTCCAGCCTATCCATACCCCACCCTGCTCCTCAGCGGGTTCTGAGAAATCAAGCAAGTACCCTCGAGCGGAGGCAGGACAGCAGGCATGGCTTAAAATGCCATGGCCCCAGCTCCTTAGACCTTTTGTACAGGGGTCTCGCCTGGCGGGAGCTTCTTACTGCGCTTCTTCATGCGGCTGCGGGCATAGACGCGGAGGAAAAGGGCCATGAAAACAACGGCTACACCCAGCCCGCCCACGACAGTGACTGAGTGCCCATAGATGAGGCAGGAGAGGAGGATGGCAAAGGCCTGGCGGAGTGTCATGATGATGGTGAAGACGGCTGCCCCGAACTGGTTGATGGTGCAGAAGATGAAGAGCTGGCCGCAGGCGGAGCACACCGAGAGCAGCACAGCATGGGCCATGAACTCTGAGTGGCGGGCCATGAAGCGTACCGACTCCAGCAAGGCACCCTGCTCCAAGAGCGAGCCCACCGTGAAAAGGCAGGAGAAGACGTTGACACCAAACATCATCTGCACGGGAGACATCTTGTAGGTGAAGAGGGCATCCTGCCAGTTGGAGGTGAAGCTGTCGAAGATGATGTAGCCGGCCAGGAGGACTACACCTGAGAAGGTGGTGACGGTGGACGCGTGCCTGTTGGGACCACTGGAGAGCAGGAACATGCTGATCCCCATGGAGATGAGGGCAGCAGTCAGGTACTCCCAGTACTCATAACTCTTGCGCGACACCAGTTTGCCCATCATCATCACTGGGATCACTTTGGAGGCCTTGGCCAGCACTTGGGTGGGGAAGCTGATGTATTTGAGTGCCTCATACTGACACCAACTGCTGAGGATGTTGGAGAGGGAGGCAAAGGAGTATTTGTACATAGGAGCCCCGTGGCGTGGCTGCTTGGTCAGGGCACAGTACAGACCAGCTGCCGTGAAGGCCAGGATGCGGTTCATGAACACTAGGAACTGGGAATCCTTGAACTTCTCACCAGGGTCCGTTTCAGTTGCACCATACGTTCTTGTCATCACACGCTCCTGGAGAACACCCCATGTGAGGTAGGAGACCTGCGAAGGAGGAGGAGCACAGGGAGAGTCAGGACCCACAAGGGCAGCTGCAAGCAACCACGGGAAGATCAGACCCCTTGCTTGCCCCAGCAGTGCCTCATCCTTGGCACGGCAACGCTTCTCAGCTACTGGGAGATGGGGTCACCCCCTACTCCACCCCTCTGGGGGAACCCATGTGGTTACAACCTGGAACGTCTCATCCCAAACAAAACCTGCTTGGTTTACAGGTTCTTCAAGGGGAGAGAAGCCCACAAAGCAAACATCCTGGTGATCAGTGAGCCGTTACGCTTTAAGCTGCCCATGAAACCAGATCGACAGGCTCAGAGATTACCGATGCACAGCTGTGGTTTTGGTGCCAGCTCCCTGCGGCAGGTCCTGGCAGCTTTCCCAGTGGCCTCTGCATTGGTTTTCACTTCCAGCTCCCTAGGCCTCGTTCTTCCATCCAAATCTATTCTAGTTTCAAACCCAGCAGACGAAATTGTCCTCTGGGGATGATCACTGTTCTGACTGTCACCTTCACTACTTCTGGTGCAACAGTACCAAGCCCCTCACAGAAGTAACACAGACTTCCTCTCACCACACATTCCGTCCCAAGAAATGGAGGCACAGAGACACAGAAGGACTTGGTGAACCACAGCAAGTCTGAACGGGCTGGGATAGTAGGCCAGAGAGTGGGTGTCTTCTGCTGGCTGCGGGATGCATGGCTTTTTCTATCACAGTGCCCACACTTCTCTTTTTAGCGCTCAGACCTAAAAATCTGCCCTTCCTAAGGACACTCAGGCTGTAGCTGAGACTTAGGAAAACTAAGATTAAAAAGTGCTGTTTATCTGTAGCTGAATTCAGTATTTCTCTCCAGTATTTGAATCCAGTCCATCAAGGCAGGACACATTAGCCCCAGATGGTGACCTAGAAGAGAGCCTGGAAGATAGCAGGGCTCAAACGATCTGCGGCTCTGACATGAGCACCAGAAGAAGAGCAGCCCTAACAATCTGCTGAATCACAGAACTTATCGTACCCATGGCTGCAGAGGACTGTGATCAGATGGACAGGAGGCCCCAAGCCAGATGGCACCAGCTAAGTGGACAGCCCTTAGAGGTGACAGAGCAGCTCTGGTGGACCTAGCCTGGTTGAGAGGCTGTGTCCCAGCCTCCAACCCTGCCCCGATCAAGGACAGCACTGTGTTCTTGGTCTTCAAGGAACTGACAGCCACAAACCTGCTACACCACATCCTCCTCTCAGAGCAGGATGGCCACACACAGATGCACAGGGCTCCTACCTGTAGGCCAGCAGCACAGAAGAGCAGCTTGAAGACCTGTTGGGCTGTAGAGGACTCTGTGGGCTCTGCTCGGGGTGGCAGGGAGCCATCCTCCTGGTGCACAGACTTCACCTCAGAGCCAAACACACAGGATTTGATGACAGGGAAGCAAATGCCTCGGCCTGAATGGGGTAAGAGAAAATAGAGACAGAATTAACCACAGCCTGGGCACCACAAGCTGCACCAGCTTGAGAGGTGAAGCCTCCCTCCTTATTAGCCCCCACCTCTGCTGGTGTGGAGACCTCGAAGGAATTTGTTTCAGGGTAGCATCTAGACAGCTCTGGGATGCAGCTCTATGAGCAGCTCAAGCCTGGTCTGACAAAGCAGGCTGGGGAAGCAACCTGTCAGCACTGAATGGGGTTGGCCAAGGGGGTGCAGAGAGCTCACAGGGAGGCAAGGATGTGGAGGGGAAGCTTCTGCCCTTACCTGTCTCCAGATAATTCCTTCTCTTAAAGTACTGGATGAGGAGGAATCCTGGCACCACGATACTTGCGTAGCCAGCAGCATTAACAAAGAAACGGAAGAGCCAGAAGTCTACCCATGAGTCCTGCAGGGCAGGAGCAATCTCTTCACCAGTAGCCATCATAGGGAGGGATGCCAGCACGAGGGGAAGGCAAAATCTGCGGAGAGGAAGAGGCGGGTGGTGGGCTACTGGTGTATGGCCAGCTCTGCTCCACATGCCTGTGTCACCCACTGCCTGGCCTGCTCCCAATCATCAAGCAGCACTCAGATCCCACCCCAGCAACAGCAGTGATGACAGCAGCACGTGGAGTAGGAAAAGCCCTCTGGAGTTGAAGAACACAGGCCAGACATTTATGTTGACTTCTGTTAAGGGTGTTTGCTCTGGCTTAGGAACACGTGGACTTAGAAATTTGAATTTCCAGGATCTGAGAGAACACTTGAACACTGCTGTAACCATGTGATTTTGACAATGCTCTTACTCCAGGAGCTCCTCACACCTCACGTTTTGAGGTTGAACTTTAGTGCAGCTCCTGGGTGGAAAAAGAAAAGGTCACTGAATGGAAAAAGCAACTCCTACTACCTAACAGCTCATGTTTCAAGCCTGTGGCCAGAACAACCTTCCTCTGAGAGCAAATGGTTCAGAGCTTCCCCCTCCAGCTGCACCAGGTGAGTAGAGGGGGGCTGTAGAGGGCTGAGATTGCCAGCCTCCCCCACCTCCCTGAGCAGTCCTGGAAGGGAGTGTGACAAGGCATTCCCCACAGCTCAAATGAAATTACCAGGGCTCACCCACTTGGCAAGACACAGCCAAAAATCAAGGCTGGGAAGGAACTTTCTTACCATCTGGCTCACAGGGATTTTAGCAGGACTATCCGATAAGGTATAGGTAATATTCTTCAGCTATAACTCTAAGGTGGTGACCTAGCCAGCTTT